CCAGGTGCTCAGGAAGGAGGGCGATTTTGCATTCTCAGTACCCCCGCCCCCCCCAACCCCAACCACCCCGGAGTCTGCATCGGGACTCCCTGGGCCCCAGCTTGGTCTGAACCCCGGCAAGCAAAGTTTTCCACTCAGCGGCGAGCCTGGCGCTCTCCAGTGCCCTTCCTTCTGCGGAGGGCAAGGGTCAGGCGTCTTCGGGGAGGAGGGAACCGGCGAGTGTGGGGCCAGATCGCTGCCCCGAGGGCTTTCGGGGCTCCCGGGAACTTTCTAGAGCGCAGCTGGGGGCGAGACGGAGCCCGCGGGTGAAGGTGGAAGGACGCGGGCGGCTCTGCAGGTTCCAGCGCTGGAGGTGGTGGGAGGGGTGAGTGCGGCCTCGGGGGATTGCCGCCTCCTCTGCCTTCCCACCCACGAGCCCAGAGGGCAGTGCCCCCCTGCGTGGTAGCCCCTGGCGAAGGGTTAACAGCCGTGGGAAAGGGTGGGCGGCCTGCTGGGCTAAGGGATGGGGCTGGCGGGCTGTGCTGTGCGGGGGACAGGATCAGGCGTGGGAAATGCCGTGGGGAGGACCAGGAGGACCAGGCCTGCGGTGGGAGTGACTGTTGAGACTGATCTGTGCGATGGGGTCACCATCCCGCCTGGTACCACTGGGCCCTTTCTAATTCTCTCTGAGCCCCTTCCTGCCGCAGGGGTGGGCGGTGGGGCAGCGAGGAGTGGAGGTCAGGTCTGAGCACCCGATCCCCACCCCCAGCCCGGCCCTCAGCCTTTGCCCAACTGTGGCCTGGGCCCTGGTGACTCACGGACACCACTGGCGGGCCCCTCCTGTGTCAGCGTCCTGTGCGAGTCGACATGTTCGTGTGGCCCTTTCCATGGGGGCTGGGCACACAGCACAGACCTGCACACCGGCCTGAGAGGGCCACATCCTCCAAGACGCCTGGGGAGTCTGGCCAACAGGGCTGCCTGGTCCTCTCGGGTCCCCTGCCTGGAGCCTGGCCTTGGCCGGGGGCTGAGACTACAGTGGCTTAGGGTTGGGGGAAGTGAGGCAACATGGGCTCCTGGGTTTGGGTCTGCACCCTCAAGGCTGGCTGGAGAGGCCCCCCCTGCCACCCAGCAAAGCTACTGTCTAGGTTTCTAGGATTGCCCTGCCCCGGCCGCCTCCTGTGTAGCTGATGAGCCAGGGAGGCAGACCTCCACCCCACCCCGGCCACCACACTGCCCATTAGGTCCCTGGGAGCCTCCCCGCCTTCATACTCCCCAAACCTATTGGGTTTCCAGAGCTGGAGCAGGCTTCAGTGCGTTACCCTAGTGGCTACCACTTACTGAGTGTCTACCCGGTGCCAAGCAGTGTGTCACACGGCTTTATGAGGAGGTGTTATCACCCCCACGTGACAGGGGAGGACACAGCTGCTCCGAGAAACCAACTTTCCCAACGTCGCAGAGGTGGGACCCAGCCCACTTCCATGGGACCCCGGCTCCCTGCTCAGCCTCTGCCCCATCAGAGGAGATCCCAGCCCACCTGGAGCTCCCTGGCTCCACCTCAGCCTCAGGAGAAGGAAGGATGGGGGTGGCGCTCCAGTAAGAGACTCCCGTGTGTGACCTGTGCCAGGCAGAGCCAGCCTCTCCGTGGGGCGCAGGAGAGAGGGCACCAGATCTGAGGAACCAGTAGGTTCCTGGTCTGGGATCTCACAGGCTCGGCTGCCTGCCTTGGAAGTCCCCCCACCCCCCCGCCCTGGGGGCCTCTGGGAGATGGAGCTGCCTTCATAGCTGCATTTGTTTTCTCGAAGCCAGACTCTGTCCTCTGCCCACCTGTGCCTTCTTGTGCCCAGGCACACCGGCTCCAGGCTGCTGGGCGGAGCTTGGCTTGGGTCCTCCCAGCTCCTGCCCCAAGCTTACCTCTCTTTCCCCTGGGATGCCCCATTTGGACTTTTGTCCAGCATCTCCATCTCTCTCTCCCTCCCCTGATCCCTTCTTTCCTTCTCCAGTTTGAAGCCTGAAGGGAGGGGCTGGATGGAGCCCAGCTCCAGGACACACCAGCTGTGACCCCTCTCTCTCCAGCAAACTCCTGAGCTTCCCCCAACCTCGGCTGCCTCATCTGGGAAATGGGGGTGTTGATCGGGAGGGTTGCTGTGCGAAGGGAGTGAAGGAACACAGTTCCTGGCACGCAGCAGCTGCTAAGCAACCAGTAGCTGTACGTACCGCTGTTGGTTATTTGGAAAGGGATTTCCTAGTCCCGGCGCCGTGCCTGCTCTGGGGCAGCGAGAGACCGAGGCCGGCTTTCCGAATCCCATCAGGCCAGGCTCTTGGTCTCTTTCCTGCTCCTCCAGGTTGGGGAGGGAGGCTCTGCATCAGAGAACGAGGGGGGTGGGGTACAGGTTGGAGGGAAACCTGCGAGAGGAAAGCAGGAATCTAAGCTGTGGGGACTCTACCCTCTGGCTTCCGGTTGAATGGGACAGGCACTGGGAGCTGGAAACCTTCAGCCGCCTCCTCTGAGGCCTCGGGCAGGCCTCCTTTCCCTGGGGTAAGACGACCCCCTCCCCCAGCACTTAATTAATTGCAGTCCCTGTTCTGCTCTGTTGTCCATGAGGGAGTGTCTGGCCTGGGTCCAGACTCACCTGATTAACTTCACGGTCCCTTTGGGAACGAGTCCCATTTCTCTTCCCTAACCCCGTGTCCCGCCACAACCCCTTCGCTCCCCACCCACCCCGGACCCTTCACCTTTGTCCTCCTGGCATGAGCTGCTGAGTGGGCACTTTCCCATCTCCAGGGGGTGGGAGCAGACAAGGGTAGTCAGTCTTGCCGTGTTCTGGTCCCCACAGCTGTGGACACACGCAGAACCCACTCCAAGGCTGGGCTCACGTCAGTCAGGTAGAGCAGTGGTTCTCAACCT